AGATCAGAGATGTAGATACATTTTCTTTTATTGATACAAAGGGATGAAGATATTTAAACTCTTTTTAAAAATAACATGTGAGAATCAAACTGAAATTTTTTCCTTTCCACTTACTCAACTCACTTGTTACCGATCGAGCTATCACTATTTGATAGGATGAATCTTTATTAAGCCAATATTTAAATGATAGAGGAGACTAGACCACGGATTAGATTGATCACTTATCCATTTGCTTCCTCTCAAAGTCCATTGTATTGTATCAATGCAATTATTGATTGGTTAAATAAACTTTGTCTTGATAATGAAGCATCAAATTTGACACAGTCCCTGTTTTGGTCTTATACAGCTTCCAATGTGAACCAGAGACCATCACTCCGGCTTGTTTTGATGGCTACTTTATAATTTAATAAAATTAATATTTTATTCAATCTATATGAATTATGAAGTTGTCTTTCAAAACCAAAATATCCCCAAGTAGATATTCATTAAGACACAATATCCTAGATACATTCACTTGTCATTTTGAGGACCGGGTTCTTTCTAGGAAGAATCTTTTAGGCCTTAACAAAAATGAAATTTGAGCATTAGAAAATTGAGGATAAGTTCAAACAGAAATCAATTATTTAGGACCCATTTGACTTCCAATTTGGCTTCTTGCCATTCCGTGCAAAATAATTTAAATCAAAGTCTTCAAAAGACGGCACTTTTCTCTGTTTTCAGAAAAGGCCATAGACTTCTGTTCCAAGTATCTCTGTGGATGAGAACACAGTAAAGGATTAAAATCCAACACGAATTGAATGTGATATCTAAGTTGCACGCACCATATCAACAATTAACAGAAATTTTAAGCATCGAAATGCCGAACAAACAGAACTAGTCCCTTTTTTTTCTTTAAACTAACCAACTTGCGTAATTATTTAATTGCATGTATAATAGTCCGTGATTCACGAATCTTTCGTAGTTCGAACAAACATCTTTAAAATATCATGTATAATACCTCCTCTTCTTCAATCTCTTGTGCTTCTCATTTTGACTAGAAACTTAAAATGATTTTACTGAGCGTTGATTATCATGATCAATTCGCTGACCAAGGTATATGAACTGTTTGCGATTGGCAAAACCACAAATGTATCACTCAAGAGGTGCTTTTAGCGGGAGTGGTATAAACCAATGCTCTACGAGAGCTTTCCAGGTGCTATGAAGAGGGGGGATGATGTATAATGGCTCTCTATATTAGCAACACAACAGTTAATGCAGTAAATGAATAGTGTGTTTTCGTTGATGGTGAAAAGAGTATTTATACATAGGGTTGAACTCCTCAAATGTAGGGATTTTTTTTAGAGTGATCGAGGCCCATATCACTATTTTGTGGTCCTTTATCATTTTGGGTAAAATTTTATCTCATTTATATCCTTCTCTTCTTCCTATATTCCCCCTCCATCCTTTTTTCATTCTATATTTAGAAAAGGAGTTGTGTGCCGGGGCCATAGCAAACAAGCTCCAAATGTAGGAGAGGAAGCCAAGTCAACGGAGATTGGCCTCAGCCACTATAGCCTAGCCTGGCCTTATTGGGGCAAAGCATCTTGCAGCCATTGTCAGCGTCCAATGACTCTTGTGCAAGAGAAAAGTGAGGGTGGATATTCCAATATAAGACGTTGTATGTCTTACGTTGAAATGTCTGTTGACCTGTTGGGTCAGCATTGGTATGATAGTACTAATATAGCAGCACTAATATAGCAATAGTTGTATGGGCCAACGGTGCTACTCCTCTATTTTTGGGCTAGCTAAATGAGCTGGCCAGAACAACATAATTAATGCAAACATTTATTTTAGTTGCTAATGTATTTGTGGAGATTCGAGTTATTAGTAGAATAAATTGACCTTATCTTCAAGTATCAATATTGATGTTTGTTTAGTTGCTCCCATACACAATGGAAAATAGCTTGCGCCATCGTTGTGTGTCTTTCAGCCGGTTGCAAATGCGTTAAAGATATTCGGATGATCTAATCATATTGAAAAGTGATAGATAAAATAGACATTGAAAAAATATAGGTAAAATAATATATCTCATTTATATTTCATATTTTATTTAGTTTGTTCATGTCATATTATCTTAGTGTTGTGGCCCGTGTAACGCACAGTTTATAGTTATGGTATAGATTTATATAATTTATTGTTTTGAGTGACTGATAATAGAAATATTAAGAAAATAATACACATTTAAAATAAATTATTCAAAAAATGATTAAAAAAAATACGAAAGATTAAGTTACTTTTTTCTTTTTATCGAATGTTGGAATTCAATATAGAATTAGATTCACAATATGTACGAAGGGAAATGAATTTGAATGGAAGTTGAATAAATGTATATGAATAAATAATAGAACTAGTAATTAGTCATTACGTATGAAATTTGAGACAGAATCCTTTAATATCGGTGTCAAAGAAAAAATTTTGATATCTCATCTAAAAGTCGTTAGATCAAGGCAGATCAACGGTGTCACATATTTACAAACCAGACTTGTTAGATCATGACAAGATCAACAACCCTTAGATTAAGTGTTGTGAATCTTTCTTTTTAACAACAATATCAAATGATACTATCTATGAAATTTATATGTGGTAAGATATAAAAGAAACAACTTTTGTATAACAAAGATATTGAATAAAATAATACGTTTTTACCCAAAGTCTTTGTTGATATGTGACGTTAATATTTATTCCTTTAACCTAATATTAATAAATATAAAGGTACGTAATATCTTTTAATCTCTTGTGATGTAAATATATATTTCATAATTTAGATATTAATTTATTTGTATGTAAATTTTATGATATTGTAAATATGCTTTTAATATTTGAAATATTATATATTTTCTTGTAAAATTATATTATTATTTTTTATAATTAAAAATTAATACGTTTTAATGGAAAGTTTCAATTTCGTGTAATGTAAATATTTTTACACCGTAATATAGGTATTAATCCAGTTTTTGTGTAAATATTTACTTTTGCAAATATCTCATTAAATAATTTCTAACTTTTTTAATTCCTAAATGTGTCATTTTAAAATTCCTTAATGTAAGTTAAAAAATATTGTTTACTTTTTAATTTCATTTTTTTTTACATTCAACAAAAGATTAATTTTCACACTTCAATACCTAATAAATAATATTTATGATTTTTATTAAAAATATAAAAAGTTATACAAAAAATATTTCTTTACTCAAATAAAATATATTAATATCTTATAATTTACCATTTAAAAAATTAGAAATTCTATATAACAATTTTTACAGGTGCAATGTACGGGATAAATTATCTGCTAACATAACATTTACATTTACATCTCTTTAAATCATTTTTTTTCACACAAAACTATTTAACTTCATATGCTAAAATTATTTTATCTTAGATATCATATATTATAAAGCTAGTTATTGGATAAAAAATTATTTTATGAATAAATACTAGATATTATTGATAAATCAAAAATAGTTATTACTAGATAAAATTAAGAAGTACTAAGGTATGAAAATTACTTATGTAAATTCTCAAAAACAGTTTGAACTGCTTTATTATATTTTTCTTGTAAACACTCTGTATAAATATTAATATATTAAAAAAGTAATAAAGCCCAAAAATAGTTAACATTAATGGTACCAGATTAAGTTGATATTAATATATCTCATCACGGAATCCTTTTGTTGACAGTGAAGCCCACTAAGACTTTTTCCGTGGTAAGTTATTTCTTTCATATTTACAAATGGTATTAGTGCCACTCAAATTAGAAGACTGGGCCAAGTTTAAATAAAGATATTTGGGCCCAACCTAAAGAGGAAGGACTTCGGCCCGCAATAAAGATGTTTGGAATATATGGACAAATGTTCAAAAACTGTTGAATACAACGATTAAATAGTTTCATAACTTTTTTTTTTTTTTTGGTTACAAGTTTCATAACCCTTTGAACTTAGCTCTCCCTCAACTTTTTTCTAAGATCCAATCTTGGTAAGCAAGAATAAAAACAGAATATAAAAGAGGTTGGCTCTGTAATCTCTCTTCTCTTTCAAAAATTCTCAAAAAGATTAGAGGGTCTATCCCGATTATAGAGAGATAATGATATCTAACTTCATTTAAATTTTTTATTTTAAAAAAATAAAAAAAATAAAAAAGAGAGCTAAGCCTCTGCAGAAAGTACTATGATAACAATTTACTTGGACTTGTGCGTGGCCAACTAACTCTAATACATTGTAGTAGATGTAGAACATAACTGTCATAATGTCATTGACGAGTACTGCATACAGATGGTAATTACTTTTGTTAAAAACTTAAATTAGGGTTTTTTGTTTAAGATTTTCGAAAAAAGCAATTTGATTATATATCTTTTTATTTTTTTTTAATAAAAAGGCTACTATTTTTAACCTCTGAAATCATTCGGGTCTCTATTAGAAATGAAAATGATTATTTTGAATAAATTAAATTTAAATCTAATTTCATGAATAAAACAAAATAAAACTATAATATAAACTTGTTAGAATGAAATAAAACTCTCGTAAGAATTTAAAGGGAGGCAATTATACAGGCTAATTGAACTTGTTTCTTTAAAAAAAAATTACCAAATTATGATGGTCTCACACATCATGTTTATACATCTTAGGCTTTCCTTTTGTTATTATTAAAGTGAAAAATATTTTTCTTTTTAAATGATATAATCTATATTATTTGATTCGATTCACATATTTACTTTTTTTTGTTAACTTTTTTTTTTATCTATCTCTTTCTCTCTCTTAAAATGACACAATCTTAAAATGATACACATTTTTTCCTATAATTTTTATATTCGAAAGCTATTAGAAAAAGAAGGAACAATCTGGGAGAAAAAGTGATATAATTATATATATATAATATGTTATGAACAATATAATATATATGATATGAATTGTTTGATTTCTGCTTATGATATTACAAAGTGTTGAAAATTCTTAAAAAATTAGTTATTCTTATCTGATTCATTGATTCAATGTCCAGGTTCAGAGTACAAGAACTAGGACGCAACCGTGGTTGCTTACGTTTAAGTTGACAAGGACTACCAACGACGGCTACAAAAAGGCACGTGTTGTTGTACCCGACACGTGCACTGTGTTTCCTACCTCGTATTAATCCATTTGCTTAGTGTGTCAGCCATTGTTGAAGGAAGAAAAGGATTCACCAACTTCAAATAGTGACATGGGGTGGAGAGGGATACTGGGTTTTGAATATGGTATAGTTCAGGCGCCGTTAGGCCCTGATATCTCTGGTCCTCATCTTGTTGCTGCAGTAGCCAATGCTGGTGCTCTTGGACTACTCAGGGCCCCTGACTGGGTATGTTCCCTTTTTCCCTTTTTCATTTTCTCTTTACTTTCAATAATTTTCTCCTTTTTTATATTCTTCTAGGATCCTTGAATCAAACTGAATATGTTTTTGTGTATCACTATCAATTCATTGTTTTGTCTTCTAGGAGTATCACCACATACAGTGTAAAATGTATGAATTTGTAAAGTTCGTTATTATGTAATTGTAAGTATTATTTGTTAATCTGGAATAATTTTTTTCTATCAGGAGTCACCGGATTACTTGAGGGAACTCATAAAGAAGACTAGGGCCTTAACTGATAAACCTTTTGGGGTTGGTGTCGTTCTAGCCTTTCCTTTTGAGGAGAACTTGAAAGTTATTCTGGATGAAAAAGTGGCAGTCTTGCAAGTTTACTGGGGCAATTGTACAAGGGAATTGGTTATTAAGGCTCATTCCGCTGGGGTCAAAGTTGTTCCACAAGTGAGTTTTATACCCATTTTTTAATAATATAAGTTACTAATTATATGCAAACCTAAGAGACAATGATATTTCAACTCAACTTTGGTATTCCTTTTATTTTCTCTGCAAAATAATTATTCTGTATTTATGTTTATCTGCTCGTTGCTAAAATTATACTTGGCCCTTTTACTCATAAATTCAAGATAATTAAACACGAAGTTTGTTTTAAAAAAAGTGAAACTCAGTTTAGATAAAACAAAATTAACATTGCTGGGCCCTTTTATTCTTTGTTGTTGCACATACTGAGTTCAGATCAAAAGTCTAGCATTGCTGAGTTTAGAACTCGTGATCCTTCTTCCTTATTAAGTTTTTTCAAGAAAGCAATTGGATGATTGGTAGTAGTTCGGTCGTTTGACTTTAAGTGTTTCCTTACATGTTGGTAGTTAATTGTAGGTTACTGTTGCATACCATGAGGTTATTTTCATTTTACTGTCTATCATTGGTATTACTTGTATTTGTAATCCTATATAGGTCGGGAATGTCGAAGGTGCAAAACAGGCAATTGATGCAGGTGTCGATGGAATAATTGTGCAAGGACGTGAAGCTGGTGGTCATGTCATTGGTCAGGTGTGCATGCTTGTCATAATTTTGATGTAGGCTTATGTTTTTGTAGTATAAGTAGTCTTACGATTAGAGGAAAAATATTTCATTGAAACTTAAGTCGAAACAGATACAGAGTGTTGATTTTATATCAACTGTTTGCAGGCACAAAAAGCGCCAAAGAAAAAATAACAAATCTAACCACTGCAAAACTGAAAAAAGAATGTATCGCACATGTAAAATATGATAGAAACAAAAAAATGAACAGAGAGATTGAGATTGTATATGTGGCCAGCTTGTTGTCACGTGATAGCTTATCTTAATGTTGATTAATTCAAGAATAAGATGGTAGATAACAATGTTGATACCACTTCTTACTTTTCAGCAGCTCTTAGAATTTTTAGCTTGAGTAATGTGGCTAATGCCTTACGCAATACATATATTCACAATTGACTACAACAACATAGGTGTATAACTGTCATATCCATGTTTGATAGGAAAAGATTAAGTGGGGGCAAGTTGTAGCTATATGGAGACACCTATGCAGTTATCATTGTAGGAGTTGAGTAAGTAGCATTACATTCTTTTTCCTTGAGAAAATTTTCCACAAAACCTTCACGATCTGTTCAGCATCCTGCCTTTCAGGTTCATCAGGTTCAAATATTCACCTAAAAATTTTGGGTCATTTGCTTGTGATTTTAACTCTATAAAATTCATGAGAAGACTTAATTTGAGGAAATAATGAATTAAAAAGAGAAATGTCTGTTTTTCTATCATAAATAATTAGTGTACAATCTAGTTACAAGTATTGTTGAAATAAAGCTTGTTCCATCTTTTCAGTATTTACTGGTTTATATTCTTATTTGTTTTCAGTGGAAGATAGTCACTGCTCACTTGCACATGCAATGCTCTCATCCTTTGAGAGATTTCCATCTTTTTATCACCTGTCAATTGTCATTGCTTTATTGATCTTTAGTAGCTGATGTGAATGATAGCTAATCATACTTTCAATTGTGTACTACACTAGTACTTTCCATTTCTGCATCTCAGAGATGATTTTGCTTTCCCTTACCCCTGCATTTAATTGCAGGATGGTTTAATTTCATTGGTGCCGAGGGTGGTCGATCTTGTTGGTGACCGAGAGATACCTGTTATTGCAGCTGGAGGGATTGTGGACGCTCGAGGCTACGTTGCTGCTCTAGCACTTGGGGCTCAAGGCGTCTGTCTAGGCACTAGGTTTTCAAATATTTAACTTTAAACTAATCATATTTAAAGAAATTGTTCTCATATTCTTGCAGGAATACCTTAGCATGTATGGTTTTTGTTCAACATAAGTTTAGTTGCTTCCTCCAAAGAAGCCTACCTTCAAGCTAATAAATTACACAATATATTCTTTGTCAGATCCGATAATTGATTCATATTTTGCATATTTCAACAATGATTAATAGGTTGTACGGGGACAATTGTGGTGGAAAGAAAGTGGTTTTAAATTGATTCCCATATCTTCCAGTGATTGAACGAGTAGCTCACTTGAATTATTTACCATCTGTTTTGAAATTCTTTTCTCAAACTTTGAAAGCCCTTTCGAAGTTTACATTGGGTTACAAACACAATCTTCCTCTTGAAACGTATCCTGAAGGTTTGTGATTGTGTTGTCAATTTTTTTTTATCTAGTCTACTGATCAAGAATGACACGAGTTGTGTTAAAACTTAGTAGGGAGAGTTTTGCCGCTCATGCGGTCCTATCCAGCTCGAATCAGGCTGGTCGAGTAATTGATGAACTGATGAAATGTGACACGAGAGTTTTCACATATTTATTTTGAAATTAAGATTTGATTCACTTGATTAGAACCACACATACTACAGTTCCCAACATTATTACAATGTCTAACTCAACTCGATTTAAACTTGACTTATTTCTGACACTGTCATACAATTTAACCTTTTCATGACATGGGTCTTGTATGCAGGTTTCTGGCAACTGAGGAAAGCTATGCTCATCCTACATACAAGAGGAAGATAGTTGAACTTGATGAAACTGAGTACACGGATGTATTTGGGAGGGCAAGATGGCCTGGTGCACCACAACGTGTCCTACAGACTCCCTTCTACAAAGATTGGAGATCCCTTCCGGGCCATGAAAATGAAGCCAACCAGCCTGTCATTGGCCATGCAATAATTAATGGAATGGTATGGTTTCAGTTTGCATGTATTTTAATTGTGATGATGCAGCATCTTTATATACTAATGTATCACAACATTTTGTGTTTGATTATACATTTGGCATCCAACAACAGGAGAAAGAGATACGTCGTTTTGCAGGTACTGTCCCAAACATGACAACTACAGGAGATCTTGAGAGCATGGTTATGTATGCTGGCCAAGGTGTTGGTCTCATCAAGGAAATCCTATCTGCTGGTGAAGTGGTAAAGAGACATGTTGAAGGGGCTCAGCTTATAATGCATCAAAATTTTAATTAGATTGTCTAATGTCAAGTGATAGTAGGCTTTAAACTCTCTGTAGAATAATGCTTCATCCTGGATTAATATGTAATATTTTTGCATTAATACAGGAAAAATAAATGAAGAATGAAAACAAGAAGTGAATAAATTTACTTAAAAGATTGCTTCACCATTATGCATTACAGAAGAGAAATTAACTAATTAATTTAATATAGCTTTAGCAACACTTACTTAAATGACTTTGTCCGAGTTCATATATATGATTTAGATTTTAATATGCTTTTATATAATACTCTATCCACACGCGCGACATAAATATTTACTTTTATAATTTAAAATTGATATGTTTTAATGTAAAGTTTCAATTTCGTGCAATGTAAATATTTACACCGTAATTTAGGTATTAATCCGGTCTCTGTGTAAAATTTCCGTCCATGGTATTAACATTTACTTTTGCAAATAACTCGTTAAAGAATTTGTAACTTTTTAGATTTCTAAATGTAATATTTTAAAATCCATTAATGTAAGTAAAAAATGTTGTTTACTTTTTAATTTTAATTTTTTTACATTCAACAAAAGATTAATTTTCACATTTCATTACCTAATAAATAATATATATTTAATATTTTTATTAAAAATTATAAAAAATTATATTGGAAATATTTCTTTACTCAAAGAACATATAATAATATTTTATAATTTTCCATTTTAAAAATAAGAAATTCTATATAACGATTTCTACGGGTGCAATGTACGAGATAAATTATCTGCTAACATAACATATTCATTTACATCTCTTTAAATAAAACTTTTCATACAAGACTATTTAATTTCGTATTCTAAAATTGTTTTGTCTTAGATAACATTGGTTAGAAAAATAGTTAGTGTATATTTCCAAAAAAAAAAGAAAGATAGTTAGTGGATAAAAATGTATTTTATGAATCAATACTATATATTATTGATAAATTAAAAAGAGTTATTATTGATAAAATTAAAAAGTACTAATGTATGAAAATTACTTATATAAATTCTCAAAACAGTTTTATCCAATGTTATTAAACTGTGACCGGTTATTGACTCGGTCGGTGTACCGGTTAATGGGACACTGGTTCAACCGCATGACTCAGATAAATATATGTAAATTTATGATTTATACTTAGTTATATAATAAATATTTTAAAGTGTGTAATTTAACCAATAACTCAATATAGCCTGATGGTAAGTACTATAATTTATATTCTCCAAACAAGAGTTTGATCCCCACTTGTTGCAATTTTTGAAATAATTCTAATTTTTAAATAATTATATAATAAATATATTAAATAGTGTATATTTATCAATAACTAAATATAACCTAGTGGTTCTGTAAACACTCCGTAGAAGTATTAATATATTAAAAAAATAACAAAGCCCAAAATTAGTTAACATTAATGGTATCCAGATTAAGTTTTTTTTTTTTTTGAACACTCAGATTAAGTTGAAATGAATATATCTCACCAGCAGAATCTGTTGTTGAAAGTGAAGCCCACTAGGACTCTTCCAGTTCCCGTGTTGTTATTTCATGTTTACAAATGGTATTATTGCCATGCTGATTAGAGGACTGGGCCAAGTTTCAATAAAGAAATTTGATCCCAACCTAAAAGAGGAAGGACTTTGGGCCAGAATAAAGATGTGTTTGAAATATATGGAAAAATGTTCTAAAACTCTTGAATAGGATGTTTGAGAAAATAGTTTCAGAACCCTTTGAACTTAGCTTTGCTCAACTTTTTCTCTTTTGAGATCAAATATTGGTAAGCAAGAGTGAAATAACAGAGCAAGTAACTCAATTTTCTTTGGCGAAATACTATGACTACAGAGATTTAAGCAACAATGACTACTTTGCCACTTTTTAAAATAAAATTGTCGAAATGTCACGGGAATAGTAAAATTTTTCAAAATGCCACACGGACAAGTTCGCTATAGCAAGTAGCAAACTTTGTTTGCTGATGTGGCATGTTTCTGGACCTAGTTTACTACTAATAATAGAGAACTACGTAAAATGTCAGTCTGTTCTGAGTATTGTTAGGACACGTATCAATGTGGTATAAATTTGCTATGCTAGCTAGCAAACTAGGTGAGAGTCAGAAACAAAAAGTTGGAAGTCATAAAAGTTGAAAGAAAAAAAGCTTTTGAAAATAAAGAGAGAGAAAATGTAATGAAAGTAGCAACACACATCCACCTCAATTTGTATAAGGGAAATACTACTCTCATTTTACATGAGATAGTTATCTCTTTTTCTCTCACTTCAAAAATCGTGCCTCTTCTTTTTTCTTTTTCTTTTTTGCTTTTAAATAGCGGGCCCTACTTGAATTATCTCTGTAACATGAAAGAACTACTCTCATGTTACATGAGAGTAATATTACCCTTTGTATAATGGTACTATTATGAACACACATAGTTCGCTATGATGCATAGCAACTAGGTGTTTTGTTTTTCTTCAAACTGACATTTCACATAGTTTGCTATTATTAGTAGCGAATTAAGTCCAAAAACATGTTACTTTAGCAAATAAAGTTCACTATCTGCTGTAACAAACTTGTACGCCCGACACTTTGGAAAATTTTATTATTCACGTGTCATTTCGACAATTTTTTTTTTTGAAAATTGTTCCAAAATTTAAACAAAAACTATGACGAAAAGTGAAAGGAAGAAGATTCAGAAGTCTTTGCTCAGCTTTTTAAGTCTTGTCATTTACTCAGTGACGTCTCAAACAAATAAATAAATAGGAGCTAGTAACTGTCAATTTTATGGAAAGATTTGCAAAATGGCAGAAGATAAATATTTTTATCACTGAGAATTATTAGGAATATACTGAAAATATGATCAAAACATTATTTGATAGATTAAAATATTATCAAAAAATTTGGTTTAAGTATCCTGATTTTATTATCAAATATTAATGAAAACGTAGGGAGATTTTAAAAACTGCACTGCTCTAGTGTCGTTGGAAGAAAATATGCTTGAAGATTTGATGCTAGTGGCGTCATCACTGCACTAGTGGCGCAAGGAGAAAATATTGTTGGCGCTAATAGCACCATCACTATAATACCCCAAACTTAAGCATTTAATTGATTAATTTTAATTAAATAATTAAGCATGTTTTAGTGAGTAAAATTAAGTATAGGGCTTAATTAAATGAATTTGAGTCACTTTGGAGTTAAAAAATGTACTCAGTGGAAATTAAGGGGTATAAATGGGTACTGGCGAAAATGCCCAAAATATAAAAATATAAATATAAATATTCCTAGAATAATATTCCAGACTTTTGGGTAAAGTTTGGTAATTAATGGAGTTGAATAGATAGATGAACTAATACCCACATGTTACCACTTAACTTATGTTAAGTGATAAAAAAAGAAAGAAACCCAACCCCCCCCCCCAAGAAACCGTCGACAGAAAGAAAAGAAGGGGAAAGGAGAAGAAGGAGAAAGGAGGGAGAAGGAAGGGAGGAAGAGAGAGAGCTATTCTCAACCGATTGGAGCGATTCAAAAGCCTAAATCACTTAGAATCTCGCCCTCATCATTAATCCTAGCTTAGTTCTTAGTGGGGAGCTTTGTGTGGTGAGATATTGCCCCTCAAAAATTCGGCCCTTTGGAGAAATTGAGGTGTTTGAGAGCTTCAACCTTCATTGAAGCTTGAGGTGCCATCAATCCTTGGTTGTGTGACCATTGGTGGTAAGATTCTAACCCTTGAACCTTGTTTTCTTGGAAAATTTCATGGTTAGGGTTTAATGAATAATGTTTTAGGGTTTTTATGAAATGTTGAGTAGATTGGCTATGTTTAAGGAAGAATGAGGCTTAGAGTATGTTGTGAAAAATGCTAGGAATGACATTTAATCGGTAGAAATGAGTTTATAGTGTTATTTTAGTATGCTTTGATGTTTTGAGAAATCTAGGCTTGGAACTATGGATTTCCTTGCATTGTTAGCATTGTTTGATTGTATTCCTTGTGTTGATAGGATTGAGGCAAGAGGACCAAGTGGAGTGACCAACCCTTGGGGTTGTGTGCAATTGAGGAAAGCTCAAGAGCAAGGTAAACCTTTGGACCTTGTGGTTGATCCCATTGAGTGTTCCACCATACTCCGTTGAGGAGAAATGGTTTATGAGATGTGATATGTAATTATGATTGTAATTGTATGCTCATGCATTGATTCATGCTTTGATACATGTTATGATTGATTGATGATTATTGGTTGATGTTTGATTGTTTAAGAGTAATTGAGGAATGATTATAGAAGTAGCAATAATGAATGAGGTAATGGTTGAGGATTGTGATTGAGGTTATGAGTGATAGTATTATGATGAGGATGATTGGTAGGAACTTCCCTTGGAAACAGCCCTATATGGATCTCCATGTGGTTAGAGCCTAAGAGGAACAACCCTATGTGGATCCCTCTTGGAGGTTCCTAGATTGAGGAAAGGACTTCCCTTGGAAACAGCCCTAGGTGGATCTCCATGTGGTAAGAGCCTAAGAGAAACAGCCCTTTGAGGATCTCTCTTGGAATAGATTGAGGAAAGGACTTCCCTTGGAAACAGCCCTATGTGGATCTCCATGTGGTAAGAGCCTAAGAGAAACAACCCATAGTGGATCTCTCTTGGAAGTCCATGTGATGCTTGTGGATAAGAATGTGTTAAGCTATTATGATTATGTGTACATCAAAGTGAACCTTAGGGTGGAGTGATCTCCAAGGACCTCTGGTTTACTGTGATATATTCGTATATCTCACCCCGTGTTATGGGGACCCCCTTTCAGGTAAGGAAGCTGCAGGAGACTCTGATGGCAAGTGGCCTTATTTGCAGTAGATCATGCATGAAGAAAATGATGTTTTGAGATCATACATGTTATTTTGTAGATTTACATGTATAGGATTGATCATTGATAGCATTGACGTATGTATATCTCGTTATATTTGATGGACTTAGCCTATGATCGTGCCATTGGATATCTCTTTTGTTGATGAGAGCCAAGGGATGGTCATAGCCTTTTGTAGCTAAGTTCCCAGTTATGTAATTAAACTTGTGTAATGTTATTTACTTCAAGGTTATGAATGCATGATGAATATTGGAAATGTTGAGCTGAATTGTCTATTAGGAGC